TCCAAAGACTGACGGCAGCACAAGAGTTCCAGCAATCCTTTCTTCCGTGCAGGGGGTCCTGCATTGGCCGTCTGTTGGGCACAGAGACATGTTGATTCCAGTCAGCCTCGAGATGGCTGATCATAGGCCACCAAGGCTGAGCAACCTGTCAGACTGTCCGAGGAAAAAGATCTTCTCCTGCCTCCCTTGCGACTCACGCAAAAAAGGAGGTTTGCAGCCTCCTTCAATCCTGGACACAGTGGCTGGAACCTGAAAGACACGACGAATGTCGCTTCAGCAGCCTGAAGCCCTACGTAACTTTCTCTCAGAGCTGGGCATTGGCAGGCTTGTCCTAACATCCACGTCACATCAAGGTCTGCCGGTCTCTTGCTACCGTGGCGCCTGCAAGGCCGGAGCTCCGCGGAGTCTTCCAGAGTGGCGAACGATGGCCTGGAGGTGCAAAACGATGTCAGAAAGCTCTCTTGCTGCTCGTGGGTCGTGGGCCTCCCGAATAGCGTTTTGCACCTCCATATCATTTTGCACCCGCTTGCGAAGCTGTTCACGTTGTGGCTTTGACAACGACATGGCCCTGCAGAACCTTGGATGCAGTCACCAAAGCAGCGAGAAAGGACCTCTATCGCATCTTCATGGCTGACTCTCAGGTGCTTGCTTTGCGAAGCCCTTCATCGGGACCTTGCGAGTTCAAGGCGGTGGTGCATCTGCAACATGGCAAGATCATTGCTAGATGATTGCTAGATGCACTCGTTTTCCGAGTAAGCCGTCCGCAACGCAGCCATCTACCTCCGCCGCCTCTGCCTACAGACCATAGTTAGAACACCAACACGCGTGAAACTCAGCTCCAAAACCTCAAAGCCGAGCCTGGCTCTCGGGAATCTGGGATCCCAGGGACCCTGTAGCACGCACAGCATCCACAGAATCGTCAGGCTCCGCTGCCTCCTTCACGGGGCAGAAACACATTCGAGAGGAAGTGCAGGCGAAGTCTAGAGTGCCTCTACGCGATAATTCGAGCAAAACCCGATAAAGGTCAGCCTTCTCCCAGAGTTTACACCACTGGAGACGAAGCTGAAAGGCAGAAGCGAGCAGTTCTAAAGTGTGTCAAACTCGTCAGCCTGCATCGTCGCTGCCTCAAGAGAATGGTCTCTTCTTGACTTGCCCTGCTACCCAGCTATGGCTATGCTATAAGCTCCTCTGCAGCCGTTGCAGCCGGAGCCGGCAGCTCGAGGGGCGGTTCTTCAGGTGCTGGCAGAGCTAGAGGGGAAGCCGGTCTCAGCAGTTCGTCTGATTCTTGGGTGTCCCATGCCCACAGCCACATCCAGGAACCCGGCTGCCTCTGCCGTGCTGCCTCCTGATGTGTGGTGCCGTACAGCAGTTTGCAACATGTTTCCTACTTCTTCCCCTCCTCGCGCCGCAGCTGCTCCAAGACGACCAAGACCTCCTGGAGCATCGCGGCCTGCCCAGAGCCCATGCTGGCGAAGGATGCATCATGGACTGTGTCGTGCCTGTCTGGCTTTCTCAAGGCCTTTCTGCCTGCACAGAACCATCAGGAGCTCAGAAATTTCGACGGGACAATTTCGCGCAGCGCTTCTTCTCGTAGGTCTTGGCATCCCGAATCTCTTTGTCGATGTCATGTGACCTTCGAGCGGTGGCCGGTGGCTGGAAAAGCAATGATCTCAGCCTCAAAGCTCAATTGCTTGGGACTGGACGATCCGCGCATTTCTCGAAGCTGCTGTAGTCTGTTTCGCAACTGCAATGCCTGCTCCAGCTGCACTGGTTGGAGAGTTGGAGATGCAACACCACGCCGAGGATACCGTTTCAAGGCGATGAGTGAAAGGACCATTGAGAGTTTTCTTTGCCTGGCAATGCAATGTTGTGGAAACCATTCGAGCAGTTCGGCTGACCATCAGCTGGCCTCTCGGATGCTAACCCGGAATTGCAGAACCAATCTAAGTTCCGGGTCGGCATCGTAGGCTTCGTCAAGGGCTTCCTCAGACGACGAATCAGATCCGACCACGTCTGCCAGACTCGCGACAACAGCAGAACAAGACCCATGCTGATCAAAAGATTGAGCTGATGCAAGCTGCACGGCGTCGTCTCCCACTACGAGCTTAACCCAATGCTGCTTGGAACGACGTCCTTCTGATATACTGTTGCTGTTTCGCACTTCTTCCGCTGGTCCCTCGCGACGTCGAGATCCGATTGCACACAGCAGCCCCACTGTGATCTGGCAGCCAAGTCACTCTGAAGGCTTCACGCTCCGAGCGTCCCCCCGAACTGGTTTTCTCGTCGACCTGGGAGAAGATTGGAGCAAAGCAGGCAAGAAGGCGGCCGCGGCCGCGGCGGCCACGAGCAGGCCGGCCTTCCGCCGCAGCTCGACCTTCAAGTGCGAGTCAGCGCTTCGTTGCCGACTTGCCGAAATTCTTCGTAAGTCGCTGGCGAGGGCGACGTGCCAATCGTGCGCTCTTTCAATGTCGCGTACTTGGAAGATTGCACATTGGACTCTTCGGATAGACAGGCCTTGCTGGCGGCGATGTCAGCGATGTCATGACAGGTCCCAGCTCTCACATCTCAGGCATGGGCTCACTTCCCAATTGCCTCAGGCGGTCATGCTCATGCTTGCAGGTGAATCACCTTCGCATTTCCGGCCTTGCTTGGTCTGGTAAAGGCCTCGAACAGCAGGACCTTCAGCAGGCACTGTGGCAGACCTTATTTGGACGATATGATAGACAGCACGCCAGCGTCAGGTTTTAGCAGGGGGCTCTCTGGCAGCGTTGCCGCGAAGATTCGGCGTCTCCCTTGCACAGCGGCAATAGCGGCAGCGGAGGCAGCATCTTGCGGGACTGTCGTGAATTCAAGCAGCCGGCCGCGATCTGTGCAAGAGCTTCCGGCAACATTCCAGGACCTGCTCAAGGACTCCAGAAAAGAGACCTGAAGGTGCAAGCTACAGTAGAAGCCTGCGCATGCCTGCGCAACGTGAGTCTCCAGTGCGGCTGCCCATGCAGACTCGGGAAGATCCATCATACCAACGACCGTCCTGCGCCAAGGTCATGTGCTCAGGACTTCCTGGGGTCTTCCCTGTCGCCTTGCAGCCTCCCGCCAAGGTGTGTCGCCCATCCTGAGTTTCTGCTTCGTGAGGGGCGAAGCCCAGGTCTCTTGGCACATCGCTCAGCGAGGTACAAGACAAGCGGTTCTGAGGATCGGCATTCGGAGCCTGCAGAGCCGCCGGAGATGTGCCATGAAAGATGCAGATACTTTCGTGCCATGTGACACGATGTGCATGGCCTGTGGCCGAAGTTTTCGTGCAGGTCCAGCTCGGCGCAAGCCGCTCAGTATCTGTTCATCCGCTTGTGCATCTCATCGTGCGGCCGTGCGGTAAGGCGTATCTTTTTGCCTTCTTCTCCAGCTGCCCGAAGTCCGGCATCGTAGTCTGCACGAAGCCTTTGATCGCTAAGCACCTCCGCCGTGGCCATTCGGAACCGCAGAGGGAAGACAGCAAGCGGAAGCAAAGGGCACCTCGAAGGCCTGGCGAACCCGGACGTAGGCATCATGGCTCCCACCCTGAAGGCCAAGCGCATGAGGCGCTACTCGATCAGGCCTCTCACACTTTTCGCGTCCTTGTCCGGATGAGTCTGCAGCGCCCTCTGCCGGTATGCTGTACAGACGGCCCGATGGCTCGCTGACCAACTCAAGCCAAGCTCGCCTTGGCAGGAAAAGGAACTCGTCGAACGCTGCATGAAAGCTTTGGTGAATTGCATTTGCATTTCGATCTGAAGTTCCAGGCGGTAGTACGTCATCTCTGACGCGGCGTGGAAGCGGTGGCCTCAGCCAGGGCATATCTTTTTCTGCGCCACGCACACACAGGTGGCTCAACTGAGGCCGAGGCTGAGGCTGACATCATGGATGCCCAGCAGCTGCAGCCCTCTCCCTCCGATTCATCTCAGCTGCGGGGAACTCGAAGAAATCTATGCAATCGGCTCAGGATTTGAGACAAGTGTAAATGATGGAGAAGTAGTTTCTCCGCTCGCCCAAACTCCGACTACTCTGCTGTACACCTACATTCCGGATCCGGCGCATTCACAATTCCGTGGCAGCGCAGTACGCTGTCAGTGAAACTACACGGAGTGAGATCTGCGGGCCTCCGTTGATCTGCATTGCCTTCACCCCACTCCAGGAAAATCACACCTGTAGATTGAGATCTTCCGATCCAGAAGACTGCAGGCGGATGCAGGGAGTGAGGTTGTTTGTGGCTGCTGTCCGGTATCAAGCAGTGCCGTCTTGGCGAAGAACTCCGAGCTGCAGCTCGGGGACGCATGGCCTGTTGGGGGCAGACTTACAGCTTCAAGGCTTCTGGCTGATTCCGGCTTGCAAATTGGCTGGGTTCCCTGCCCTGCTCCCTTCGGGCATGCTTCGGAAGACCTTTCGAAGGCGTTCGTTGCTCTGCGGCCCAGGCATTCATGCCCTATGTCATATGTGGCAAAGGCAATGACAGCAAGTGTCAGCACGTCTCGAAGATGCGCTGGCAGTCCCGATTTGCAAGGATGCTAGCACCGAAGAAAAGCAGGCTGCACAGATGAAGGCATTGTTACTGCGGCGCAGCAGCCCTACGTCTGTCTGATTGAGCCTGGGACTGATTACAGCTGTCTTCAGCGCAAAGCCGCTTCACGAGGCCGGAACTGTCTGGACTCCGAGACGGGCCAGTTGTCCGGGTCAGGTCCTCGGAAAGCAAAGCCAGCACGTCGATCACGATCAGAAAGCTCGGCCCACAGCACCGGACGTGGTGACAAGCTGGCTGTGCAATTGCTCGCTGAACTCGATGGCGAATCTGGAAAGTCAGGAACAGACCGCTTCAGAGAGTGGGGGTAAAGTATTGCCTTGTGGTGCAGCCTTGCAAGCTCCGAAGACTCCAAGCAGCCCTGGCCTTCTGCGCGGCCCTCCCGAGGCTGCTCACAACAAAGCCTCCCGCTCAACTGCAACCGCCCCAAGGCGTCCCAAGGCCCAAGAAATTAAAATTGGGCTCCTCCCTGACACTCAGCTTCAGGCTTTGGCTCGGTCTCCGGTTCCGCATCCTTCGCCTCAGGCGGGGCGCGCAGGTGCGCAGGTGTGCAGATCTGAAACGCGCCCGTCACCGCCTCTGCGAGCCTCTCGATTCTGCTCCTCGCCTGCGGAGAAGGAAGAAATTCCATGGAGTCAAAAGAGGCGAAAGTTCAACTGCCTTTGCCTGCCTTTGCCAGTTTCTCCCGCATTTGGGAGTTGGGGCTTCGCGGCGACGCTCTGCATTCCTGCCGAATGAACCAAACAGGGAAGGATCTCCTCGTCGGCTTCGGGTCCTCCAGGTTCGTCTTGGTGGCCTGCTTCGCCTCACTTTTTCCGATCCTTTCCTCGAAGACTCTGGCTTTCTGCCAGACAGCCACGCCGGTGCTGGACTCTTTGTTCGGCTTGGTATGTGCGCTCTGCACAAGATTCTCCTGTTCGACCCTGGCCGACAGCTGCAGCTTTAGTCCACGGATTTCCTCTTGGTGATCTTGAAGTGTCTGAATGTCTACGTCTCGCTGGGTCTCCAGGACTTTCAGCTTTGACTCTGCTCGTCGTCGCTCTGTTTCGATGCCGTTGCGTTCTTTCAAAGCGCGCTCCAGCCGGCCGACCTCAGTTTTACTGCGGTCTTTGCGAAAAGAGATCACGGGCACCGGGAATGTCGTGGCCGACCTGGACATCGTTTTGCGCCTTCTGGACTCGTGCTTCACGGCCCAACCTTTTCAGTGAAGCGCTTTTCAGCGAAGCAGAGACGACCAGTGGCAAAACTCAGGCTCGATCTCAACCAAGCGCTCGCGAGCGGCGACCAGCTGACAACGAGTCTCTTGGGCCTTTCGCCAATCGCAAAAAGATGCGGAAGCGCGCGACGCACAGCGCGACGCGGTAAGGCCTCGATTTGAAGGTCCCCACATCTCCTCAGGTGGCAGCTCATGCAACTGCACGCTGTCATGCTCAGTAGCCACCCTTCACAGCAAAAGCTCGGAGAAATCAAGAGAAGCAAAGTTCACGAAAAGTTGTGGTCCTGTGCCGACTATGACCCGATGTGGCTGAAACAATCGGAGAACCGGCGGGGAAAGCGCCAGAGCGGCGAGAGACGGCACAGAACCGTAAATTCAGCATCCAAGCGCTGACGCGGCAGCTGCTGTAGCACGGACTTCCAAGGAGGCGCAGGTCGACAACTGCACCAAATGCACCAACCAACTTCTTATAGTGTCTTCCTTTCTGCACTTGTCACAACTTCTCTTCCCCCAAGTAAATGAAATAGTGTGGCCACACATGCAAAGAGTCATTTCGCGGCTGATTTCGCAGCAGAATCCCCTCCCCACCACGTGCTGCATGCATTTGCTGCACAGGACGCCGATTCTGTTGCCAAACTACAGATCTGAGCGCTCTTGCACTGCGCCACTTACGCGCCGGCAAGAGTGTCGTGTGCGTTTTGCATGCAAATCGTTCTGCCACCACCGTGCGTCTCGCATTTTGGACCTTTGTGCTCGAAAGTAAGGGCAGGGCCACACCATGCCACACGATTTGGCCTCTCGGGAAGTTGGCACGGTGGCCTTCACCACCCACATGTGCGGTTTTTTACCCAGCTTCGGGTCTCCAAAGGAGCTTTCGCGACAGTGGCATTGGTGTCTTCGCACGGCCTCCTCACGGTTCTGGGCGATACGTACAATGCAAACGCAAACTAAGGGTACTGCTACCCTTGCCCTGGAAGCAGAAAAACTGCACCTCTCAAGAAAACTCGGCTGTCACCAAGCGGCTTTTGCTCTGCACGCAAGGCAGCGAGGACCTGCTTGCATAAAGATTTTGCATAGACCGAAGAGCAACTGCACTTTGACAACCTCTTCCAGGTCGCGCGACATCTTCTCACACCTATTCGATGTCCGGGCTGGGACGCTCGAGGAGGCAAGCAAGAGGTTCAAGGCGGTTAAAGCCGAAGCACCATGCAGGACCAAAGCAGAGGTTTCACGGTGGGAGACCACGCTGTGGATATCTCTGGATAAGATGGAATCAACGCCTTTAGATCGGCACGGCGTAGAGTCCTTACAGAGTACGGAGCCGATGAATAGATATCCTCATTCGGCCCATTGTGCACACATACAGCTACTACGCATAGCAGGTCGCGATGACGCGCTGAGGGAGACTACATGGTCCGTGAGATTCACGATAGGCCGGAGGTGCAATGACAGGACCTGTTACTGCCGAGAGGTCAATGAGGATCACCAGCAGTGTGCCATGAATGCACTTTTCTGTGCGATCAATATAATACAATGTAGCCATGTGACATCATAGACATAGAACAGCGGTTTGTGGTAACGACGGGAGTCCAGGCTTCGTAAAGCTCATAGGAGAGGTTTGTTCTCAAGCTGGGACATGGATGCGATGGATGCGAATACGTCGCAAGACCTGGCCTGCCACAGGCTCCCTCCCACTTGCTCCTGGCACAGAAAAAGCGTCTCAGTCTCTCAGAACAGAGGACGCCACAGGAGCTCAGGCTCACGCGTCTGGCACTCGCTGTCACGAAGACCCTCGCCTTGTGGCGACACCTTCTCGCAGTTCTGCGATCTGAACTCGAAGCCGAGTCCCGCTTCGCGCCTTTCGGCCGGGTGCGGACCTCCTGGCGGCATGGCACCGGAAAGGGATCCCGAATCCCGCATGTGTCCCGACTTGTCTCCCGTGTTATGCGCCTCTGACATCTGGACCACGCGAACATGGAAGCTTGCCTGCGGCTCAGTGGGTCTGCAGCTCGGCAGAGCATTCGTGCAGCGAGCTCATACAACGGACGCGGAGGCAAATTTTGCAACTTGCGGCGTGCGCAGGATTCGATCTGCAACTTTCGCTGCAAGATCGCTATATATATGTGGCTACGAAGTGACACTCTGCATGCGTGATGTTTACGTTGAACTCCAAGCGCATGCGCGTTCGAGGCATTGAAAATGTGGTGGTTCCCACCATGCCACCAAGTGGCTGACAATTCCATTTGTTTGGATGAAACCGAGTGCTGTTCAGCTTGGCTGAAAAATCTCGACCACATTTGAATGGACAGCTCCTTGTCCGACTGTAGACTTGGACAAACGCGTTGTTATTATGCTAGTTTTCCTGGCAAGACCTGGACAAGCAATCAATTTCAATACTGGATAGGTACCTTTTTCAAGCACTTTCAACCTTAGCTACCTGTGGCCAGCTGGATCTCCTCAGCAATCAGCTGCTCACATGCTGATACGACCTGGGAACAGAGCGGCACGTTGCGCAAGCCGCAAGCATGGGGCGGTGCCCTATCTCAGGCAGTGACTGCCTGTACCATGTCTGCTTCGGACTGCCCTTGGCGCGACAAGCCGGCCCAAGCCCACAATGGGACGGAGACCGGGGACCAGACCTATCCTGGCAGTTGCTTTCATCTGGAGGACCCCTTGACTTTCGATCTCAGAGGAAACATCCTCGAAGTGTCGGTCCTCTGCAAATGCAAGCCGCTACAGCCGCAACTCCCACCCCTCATGCATGAACTTGCAAGTGGTGCCTCCGCGTCTTCTACGAGGGCAAGCTTCAGTTGAACACCAACCTCGGAGTTGCCGCACAGAAGCTCCTTCCAAACTCTCAAAGTGCTCGATGTGCCTGGAAGCCGCCGGTCCCTTAGGGCGACAAGCTGGGCACAGCCATGCGTCAATTGCGCGAGCAGCAGGCCAACTCTTGACGGGCACGAGGTTAGAAACCCGAACGCCTCGCGCCATGCGCTCCACACGCGCAAGCTCCCAGAAAGAGGCGGAGGATGGCGGAGGCATCGGAGGCATCGGAAGCTCGAGCGATTTCGCTCGCGATGCTCGCGCCTGCCTCGTGCGAGGCGAAGCTCAGGCCTTCGTGCTGCAAGCCGAGCTTCAGGGCACCTGAGCAAAAAAAGACATTCCCTCCCCGGACTCCCCTCGCCCCACCCCCCCCGCCACCATCCAGCCTTCTAGGGCACAGAAGCGATCAAAGGCCTTCTGGGGGCTACTTGCCGTGGCGATCAAGCGAAGATGATCCTCAGGGATAGAAAAAGCTCTAGACTGTCGACCCTCGGCAGGGCGGTCCTACAATACGCTTCAATCGGCAAGGGTGTGTGTGGGGGGCTCATGGGGCACCGACTGTTCACGGCTTTGGCTTCAGACCTTGGAAGCACCTTTCCGTGGTGCAGGGTTGGCCTTGCCTTCCACATTCTGCATCGTTCGACGAGTCGTTCCGAATCATGCAGGCTTACTTTTCTTGCCTTGCAGTAGCAGGATTCCCAGGATGCTCGGCGGGAGGTTGCTGATGCTTATGCTGCTCGCCCGGGGCTCATGATGCTGGGGGACAAACCTCAAACCCGCAATCAATCCTGTTGGTTGGTGGCACCTCCTCACTTGTCGTTAGCAGAAAGCTTGGTTCCGTGGCGAAAAAACTAAACTAAACTTGAATTGTTTCCGAAAGTAGAACGCGAAAACTACTACTCAAAGCTTTGGGTATGATTTCACCGATTGAAATTTTCTGCGTGAAGCATCAAAACTTGAGTTCCGGTGCTGCAACAGTTCGAAAAGAAGGGCTCAACTTGACTTGTCGCCGAAACTACATAAAGGTAGCCATGTGAATCCATGAAGCATCAGAACTGGAATTCCGATGCCGCAACAGTTTTTCAGTCAAACGCTTCTTTTGAATGCTTTGTAAGATTTCCTGCACGTGAAAAGTCGAAAATTTTCGTACGTCTCGCAGGCATCTGTGGAAACGGATGTGTGGGCTGGTGCGCGCGGTGCTGGAGGGCGAAGATGTGGAGCGGAACATGTCCATCGCAAGCCAACCGAGAAGCCGGCAGCATGTGCGTTCTCCCTGCTCCAAACTGGTATTGGAAGTCAGAAGAAACGGCTTGGTAGGGATTCAGAATGCAGACCCTGCCCTCGCACTCAAGGCGGCGTGGACCTTGACTTCGCACAGGTGATTGGGAGGTCTTTAGGGCGTGCAGCGGGGGAGTCCACATCATGCCGCCTCTTCGTTGATCCAGATGGCCATGTCCTTCGAGCTGTTCACATAGACGCCACGCGCCTCAGTCAGTTAGAAGAGAAGCCTCTCAGCTCCCGCCGCTCCTGCCGCTCCCGCCGCTCCCGCTCTCTGCTCTTCTGAAAGCCGGTGCTTTTCCGGCCTGGGGCCAATGTTTGCCCATGCCCGAAGAGAGGAACATTGCGGAGCTCGGAGCTTGAAAGAGAAAACCATGACTCTCCAGGTCGGCTGCATCCTCCAAGAACGCTCCCAGTGCATCATCATGCAGCACACGGTCGTTTCGGCACGTCAGCATGACACTCCTCTGCCGTCATACCACCGTCATTGGCCACCTGGCGGCTTCAGAGACGAAACACGCCGAATGAATGAGAACTCCCACCTAAAACAACTAAGGAAGCAGCAAAGGACCCAGAGCCGCTGAGAGGGAAGTAATCGCCGGCCAGGTCCTGAGGTGCCGGGACGGGACACTCGCTACCAGGAATCCCATGCTTTGCCCCTGAGCTCAGATCCCCCTCCCAGTCGAGAAGAACCTGTACGGTCTCTGACTTTGGGATTTGCAGGGCCTGCATCGCACCCGCCTTCGTAACGATGCGCTCCAGGTCTGCACGCTCGTCGAGAGTCATCGCTGATGGAAAGCAGAAGTTGGTCAGATTTCGGGATGCCTTGCGGCACTCTGAGGCGCTGCAGTCTCAGACTGGTCAAGTTGTTCACTCGCCTCTACTCGAGCACCGATCACGCGGCCACCATACGCAGCGACTGGCCTGCTGACCTGACGGTTTGCTGAAATGACCACCTCTGCTGCCTTTCAGCTTCGTCCTGCGCCAACACTACACAAAAGGGCCGGAACACAGGCTGGATCCAGGACTTCAGGATGGCGTGGACCAGAGTAGCCGTTGACCTCAGCGAAGGAACAGAGGAGCTCCGTGACCCTCTAGGCACAGCCTTGGGGGACTTCGAGACTCTGGCAGCAAGGGCAGGAGCGAAGATCGGAGCAAACCTGGCTGATGGCGAGCTGCGGCGAGCAGCAGCACAGACCGTTTGGCAGCAACGAGCATCTCAGCCCGAAGCACGGAATAGCTCTCTGCATCTCCGGCAACCAGTCCAGAGCTCCTGAGGGCGGCTGGTAGAAAGCACATGGCCGCACATCGCACAGCCATCCCAGCAAAATGCTGCGTTGCGCTGCCTGATGGCATTCCTGGCCTTGTTGTCCATGCCAGGCCTTACAAGCACAAGCGTGGAGCACGCACACAAGTTATGCCAAGGAAAATCACCGCATCCCGCAAACGTTGTGTGCAGTTCACGGAGATCGCGAGGTGGTTGGGCGTGCGGATTGTGACGGAAGCATGCCGTAAGAACTCCTTTGCCACCACCCTTCGTTGCTGCAAATCCGCTGCAATCAGCGTGAGCTGTTGATGGCAGTTGTCCAACATTGTTTCCATGGCACCGGATTGGTCACCAGATTCTCGCATCTGAACTTATCCTGTTAAATTATAAGAAGCTCCGAAATGCAGCTTCCAAATGTTTGGTTATATGTATACGTAAATACATACATATATATCTATATATATATATACACGTCAGTATATGTGCATCTATTTGTGTATATAAATATACACATATACAGCTAGCTACTTCTATACCTAGCTGTATCTACATCCATATCTATCTCCATATCTGCACTATCTATATCGATATCTAGATCTACATCTATATTTGTATCTATACCTATACCCATGCCCATCTACATCCAGATCTAGATCTAGGGCCAGATCTATATCTGTATCCGTATCCATATCCAACTCTATATCTACAATTTTCTATCTCTATTATGTGTATATACATATATATATATATGTACGTATCTATGCTACGTGTAACTGCTGTCTTCATCAAGTAACATACGTAAGCCTCAACTTACAACATGATGCACTATTATGATGTCACAATGCTTGTCGCGATGCGATTGCCTGAGAAGGGCAAGTTTCTTATTTTCTTGTATGGCAAAGCCTTACTAAGCCCTTATTAAGCCCTTATTGTTAAGCCTCTATACATATATATATATATACAGCCCTCCGAAGCTATTATTAAGGCCTTGATTTAGCTCTCATTAAGCCCTCATGAGACACGCCAAGAACCCCAAAAAACAAGAAACTGAGCGCATCACTTTCTTAAAGTTAAGAAATCGCGCCAATCAATTTCTTATTTTGGTGATTTGTGTTTCTTGTATAACAAAGCCACATTGAAACCATACTAGGCCCTTACTACGCCATCTAAAGCTGTTATTAAGGCCTTACTAGGCCCGTATTGGGCCCTTCTTTGCTACGCCCAGAACCTCTGAAAATAAGACATTGAGCCCCTCAACTAACGTACGAAAAACTCCTCAAATTTCAGAAGTTGAAGGGCTCAATGTGTTATTTTGCGGGTGTTCTGGTAAGGGCCGAATACACGCCAGGAGCAAAGAGGAGTATGGTTAAATGCCGGCGCAAAGGATGCCATGCCTAAGCGGACAGGCGCATGACTTGATTCGGAAATGTCTGCGGGCTCGATGCATAGAGGTGGTTTTGCATGTGGCTGATTTTGGGGATTCGGATCGGCTAATTTTCGAGCTGTGTCGAATAAGAAATCTGGGTTAAGAAATGCAGGGCAACCTCGAATCCGGAAACGATTTGTTTCAGAACAACAAAGGCGCTTCAAAATTCAGAGAGTCTAAATAAAAGCATATATGTAGAAAGATTCCTGGAAGCTCCAAAATCCTGGAAGCTCCAAAATGGAGCTTCCCAAACAAGCTTCTCAGAAGCGATTCTTGAAATTCCTAGAAGCTCTTCTTGAAGAGCCCAAGACTGATTTTCACAGAAGCTCGTTTTGAACTCAGAAGCTTGGGCGCTCGTGGCAAGAAGCCTGAGAACAACAGAGCTGTCAGCTTCAACATGGAGCTGCAAGCTCCAAATCGGAGAAGCCCATCGCACATCCGTTCACTTGACATGTCCCTTTGCATGCAGGTGTGTTACTCAACAACGGGCCATGACTGGCTTGCTGACAGAACCGCTTTCGAAGTCTGCGACCATGCCGCTCAGGAATGATACAAATGTGTGTGAAGAGAAGTGTGAAGCGGTTAATAGTTCCTGGGCGACCGTAATTAACTGCCATGAAGTGGTTCTATGCTGCGAAGTACAGCAATGCTTTCCACTCCATGGCTTCACGGCTCCGTGCGTATAACATGGGCGGAAAGCAACTGCAGAGAAGAGCCTGAGCAGCCGGCTTAATGCAGCGAGCAAGTGACACTCCTTTGCTCGTTCTCATTGTGCGAAGCCTGACGCGACAGGGAGGCTGAGACGTGCAGCAACAATCCTTCTCCTGCCTGCGATATAGTTCTGGATCTCGCTTGAGCAAGTCAGCCACGATGCTGTTGAAGCCTGAGAAGCAGGTGACAGCCGGTGTGCTGCTTTTTCACTGAAGTCCAGCCTGAGAGGTCTGGAAGCTCCTCCGTGGAAAGGAATGTGCGACAAAGCACACAGCCACAGACACAAGCATTCAAATGAAGCACCTCGGGACATTCATGGGCAGGAAAGCCGGGAACCTGTGCACATTGTGACATTGCCATGCCCGGATGACTATGAGAAGATATTGGGAGGCTCTCCTCTGCAGCTCCGAGTCCGGAGGTGTCCTCGGGAGCCTCTGCGACAGCTTGTGAGTCTAGAGCCTGTTGGCACATCCCGGTCCCGGCCTTCAGCATCGACAAGCGGAAGTTCTCCGCCTGGGACAGCCCAACATTTCAGCTGAAACTGCGGGAAAATATGGAATGTTGCGCAAAATGTTTCCTTCCGTGGGAACCGCTCTCAGTCATGGTGTCGCATAGCCCTTCTGCCCACAATGCACAGCGAACATCGATTACCTTCAGAATGCCAAAACAAGTTCTGCTTCCGGTACATTCGCTTGGCATCCCAACATAAATCGCCCAGAAAGAACAAACCCCCAATAGATGTTGATTCCAGCACGGGTTCCATGGTCAACGTTCTAATGACGCCAAATTCGTACAAGTAGTTGGTGCCCACTTCTGGTTGTCGTCTTGTGTGTTTACCTTGCGAGGTTCGTGCAAGCTACTCTTGAAAGGTGAGCGGGCTTACGTGTAGCCTTGGACAGACTTGTATGAACAGGATCGAAAGCTGCTACCGGGCTATTGAATGGGCGCTATTTGCACCTCGAGCCCCTCAAAGATCCACAAAGCAACAGGGAGCCCAGTTGCGTGCCTCCGTCGCTAAATCCAGGACTTGCCCCGACTTTAGCTGCAGCTCCAAGTCATGCATCTTTCGCACGGCAGCAATCAAGCCGTTGGCCTCCACGCACGCGCACACACGCACACACACACGCACGCAGAACTCTTCTGCACCCACACCCAGCTCCCCCGAATTGCCTGCTCTACTTCCGAGACGTTGAGCTGCACCGCGTTCGAGATGTCCCAGTTTCCGTCGAACGTTGGCCGGATCACCCTCTTGGCCTGCAGTCAGCTTAGCCAGCTTAGCCTCTTCGCCTGCTCCCTGCTGCTTATCGCTCCGGCCTGCACACCAAGGGCACGTGCCAGATCAGAAAAGCCTTCGTTCCGCCCGAGCAGAGGAAGCGTCACTCGCACCTTCACGCCTGAGCGCGTGCTTGGTGATGGTGTCGCAAAGACAACGTCACTCGACAAGCCCCCAGCGGAAAGCCGTGCCAAGGTTGCTGGGACAGGTAGTCAGGAAGCCGAGACCTTTCTGTGCAGACAGGAGCAGCAAAACGGAACGGCGGAGACTGGGGAAACGGCGATCACTTCTTGCGAAACTATGGCCAAGGGACTGTGACAAAGATTGCGCCAAAGCCTGGCAGAAGCAAGCGAACAAAAACGAAGCCCAGAGAAATGTTCAAAGCCTTCTCCGCGGCATACACACTGGCGAAAGCTGCCTGGGATTCAATATCGGCATCAGGCCCTGCATAGTCTTCAGGCATCTGGGCCTTCAGATCGCCGTCGTACCGCCGAACCATGAGTCGCCTCAGACTCAGACGCTTTCTAACCTTACAACAGCTCAGATCAGGTTGCACAAATTGTGGTCTCAGCTCATGGCAGGTGATCTTCGTCGTTAACCCATGCAGCGAGATCTTCTCTGCGGCTCAGGAACACTCCCCGAGCCTGTGCCAGTATGCATCAGCTCAGTAGCGCAACTGTCCTGTTGCTGCGATCCGCTGCATCGTGCCTGTGGCCAGTGTCTCGCTCTTCCGGTTGCGAGAATTGATGGAGCATCTGGCGCCTGCGAGCAGTGCAGCGACTGGCATCAGATGAAGCAATCACTTGGTTTCACGTGGTTTGCACGGTGGGCTAACAAAGCCACCACGTCCATCACCCGGCAGCGCTCGTTTCTCTGGCGCAATCAAGAAGGCAGCAGCAAGGCAAACTCACCTTCGGCTTCTAGTGACTTGATTTGTGCTAGAAGATCATCCCCTAACTCGACATTGAGAAGCTTCGCCCTGAGCAGAGTTCTCTGGGAACCCCTCAAATCTCCATGTCGGACAAGACGACGCAAGCGCAGCACTGTCTCGTCCTGCACGTCAGCAAGCTGCCGCTCTCCCAAGAAGGGCACCTCGTCCAATGTTGGTTGAGGCGCCTCTTGTGGGAATCCACGGCCAGTGACACCGGTTAGGGTTGCAGTCGGCGGAACAGGTTTTGGATAGGCTGATATGGGCACTGCTTTGGCCACAGGAGCAGCTAGGTCTGTTGCCGGCATAGCTGCTGGGATGGGGCGTCGGAGATGTTCATGGTCGGGTGGCAAATGCTTCATGGTCTTGCTTTGATTGGCTATGTACTCCACCGTCACGCAGTCCTTCTTCACGGCCACCACATCACCCTTGCACCATTTCGCCTGCGAAATGCTGAAGCACTCCACAGCTTCACCGACCCTCCACTGGCGAGCCGATTGCACCGGAGCTGTGTGAGCCGGCTCCGCTTTGGCACGCTCACCCGGCTCCCGCTTGAGAGCCCGGATCTTGCCCGTGACAGGATTGCGCTGTTCCATCTTTATGAAATCAACGACATACTCCGTCTTATGGGGTCCCAGTCGCACGGGAAGTGCATCCTTCGCTTCAGCTCTCGCTTTCTTCATGGCTGCCTCGAGTGCAGTTGAATCTTCGGGCGAGAGGACATTCCACGTCCCGCCGCCTGCGAACGACCATTGAACATCGGACATGCTCAGATGCTGTGTTTCGAGCTACTCCGTCGAATATATCACCGTCCGTATGTAAGCTGTCCAATCATGAAACTGACTTCGCCGACTAAGCCGAATGCTGCAGGAGATTGGCAGCTGCGTCTCTACACGCCAATGTCTCCACTGTGGTTGAAGTTCAAAAGCAAGTGATGAAACGAGGACCGGCAAGGACCTCAAATAGCCATTTGCGCTCTTGCAGCTTTGCTTCCTCCGCCTCCGACATGCCGGGCCTGCTAAAGCAATGAACTCCAGGACAGCAGCTAATCGCACTATCCAAGATGAGGTGGCTTCTGCATTGAATGTCTTGAGAACATGCCTTGAACTTGTGGATGTAGACCCTCTCAAGGGCATGTACCTCGCACATTGCATGAAAATCCATGTTCGTGAGGCTGGGAGCCTGGAGGGCGAACTCGCCAGCAAACTCCTCGGGAAGAGCAGCCAAGGCCGCGCACAAAACTTTCTCAACCTGACACGATCCGCCGGCGGCGCCACTGGCGGATCCGAGGCGAAGCTTTTCAGGCACTCGCTACCGGCGCCTTCTGTCGATCATCCAGTGACATGGCCGGTGTGAACCGAAATCGCGATAAGTTCCGCTGCAGCGACACCTGCTGCAAACAAAACAGTCGCTCAGATGCGCAGGGATACGAAGTTGAAGTGCCTGCACACTTGCCACATTCTCTCTGGCTTCGGCTAAGCACGTCGAAAGCTCCTCAACTCAACTGCCAGTGCACGGATTGGCACGACTGGATCATTGCAATCGCACCGTCAACATTCGACAATTTCGTCCTCGGGCTTGTTGCACTGCACGTGGTGAAGGGCGCCCTTTCGGTTCAAACTCTGCCTGAGCACATTGGCCAACGAAGCTCTTACATCACAGGCAAATGCCAGCTGATCGTGCTATTCGGCCTTGCGCGGAGAATTGGGTCAAAAAGTGCCTGGAAGACGTCATAACCTTGCAAGCAGCTTCGTTCAACGAAAAGTTTTGGATATCGTTTGACGTGTTCCGACCCCAAACGCAAAAAAAAAAATACAAAAATTGAAGGGCTGACCGACGTGCTATGCTGTGAAAGGGCTGAGCGAGCAGCGGGATACACTGCGGGGGAGGGAAGGGACTCTTATTCACACCCCTTGGTCGTGCCCACAACCGCATCTGCACGATACTCATACGCATGCAATTCGGAACACTTATGGCACAAGGCTCTGGCAATGTGCATCGCCGGCTGTAGCTCCGATTACACGGAAGAAGCTGTGCCCCGGGTTGTCCATCCCAGGCTTGATACATCTGACAGCGACACCAAAGTCTAGCCGTGTGGTCCCTATTCCCGTGCTTGAGTCTTGCGAGTTTCGTTGTGTCAGTCCTCGCCAGGGAGACTCCCAAAGGTGTCCGGAGGTCCTTCAAGCAGTCAGGAATAGTCAGGATACAACAGACCCTTGCGTCTTTCAGGGTCCTTGAGCCGGTTGTAGATGGCCGAGTCTGACGTGAGAACTTCTGCCATCAAGGAGTGATGCCTTCGGAAGTTCCGAAGTGCAAAGCAGAGCGCAAAGCCTCTCAGGAGCTCCGCCTTGCCTCGAGAGATCAGGAAGATCTCTTGGGCATGCATCGACCTAAGCTCTCAATCTGGTGCTGCTCGTCTGCTCGTGAACGGGCATGCTGCCGGGGCCACTGGAAATCCCGGAAATTCGATATCGCCGGTGCCTGGCACCTTGCCCTCACCAGGATTCGTCGGAATGGCACCTTGCGGCATTCGTCCCCTCCCTCCAACACGAAATGATCCGTGTCCTAGTCTCCCACCTAAATCGACCTCCTCCTCCGCGTCGTCCGTCAGGTGGAGCTGTTCACCACGTTCGAGCCTGGCCTGACATGCACTCTCATGCAGAGTCAGCTACAAGAAACGAAGAGCTTCATCTCTTCATATCGCCTCAAGCTCCAGAAGCGCGCGGCAGGCCTCGATCACGGCATTGACCTTCACAGGGCGTGCTTCACCCGTGCAAAACCATGCCCACGGACAACAACAGGGAGCCTGCTCCACTTCCGAACATCCCAGTCGCAATGAGTTTTGGACCTGGCTGGAGGGCACTGGACTGGATGCAAACGGTTTACGCCCAGGCCAGGTGCCTCCCAGACTCCCTGGTGCAACCCCATCTCTGTGTTGGCACAGAGACTGGCCTGGAGGCAAGGGAACACAACCTGCAAACTCGAGTATTGCTCCAAGCTCTGCGCTTGCAGCTTCAACTGCTGGCAGAGATTGCGGAACCTGAGGCTTCCAGCTCGCGACCAAACAGAACTTTAGACCGCTGGCAGGCCATGCAAGTCGTTCGTGGAGTTTCATGCTCAGCATGATAATCTTCTCTTGTGATGTCATTGCTTCATATGTATGTGGGTCAGCCTGAGGAGGATCACTAGATGCACCTGATACAGCGAGGATCCTCCTAACAGATGATGGAGTGCCAATTATTTCGCATGGCTTTGCTCAGTCCAACATGTTGCCGTGCAATGAGTCCGTGTTGTTGTGCAGACCATCAGACCGGTTCCACAAAGGTGCAGAAAGATGATTCTGGCTGATGAATTTGCATCTCAGCTGTGGCCACATGACGACACTCTGCAAGTACCTCTCAACTCTTGCGACTCGTCACTGGCCATGGTTCTCCTCCTGTGGAACGATACAAGGACGACCGCCTTCTCTCTGTTTTGAGCCATGTGTCCATTCTTGGGGGCAGCCTACTCGGCCGCTTGCTGTGGGCACCCGGGTAACAGACTGCAAGGGCTCTCTGATTGTGCTATCCGTTCCGAGGGTGTCATTTTGTCGAGATGGACGTTGCGAGGACGGCGCCTCGGACCTATGCGTGCAACTGCGCGAGCACACGCGCCAGAAAGGTTGTCCCACAGATAGCGATGCGGAAGGGCTATCGAGAAGCACGACTGTCATGCGAGAGGAGATTCGAGTTGCGACGGCCTCAGACGGCGCTTTTGCCTTCACATCCCCCATCTCCATCATGCCATGATACCAGATGCTGCACGATGCAACACTCCAAGGAAAACCCTTCACATGGCCTTCAGGAATTCCGCATGAGGAGTCGGACTTTTGCCAAATTCATAAACCGCCTGTTAACTGTTCACAGGCTGCACAACACATGTCGGGCTATGTTTGCCCAAGCCTCTGCCCGAGGGAAGCTGAAATCCAAAAACATCTCCAAAACTCTTTGCTACGGGCCTTCGCAAACTGAGATCAGAGCTCTGGCTGTTTGCTAAGAAGTGGAATGCGAATCGCAACACCTCGCAATGCGAATCTTCGGCCCTCCTGTAAGTTGCACTCTCAGGGCCAGACTGGCAGTCAAGCAGGTCCCCAAGAGCGACGGATCCGGCCCGAGGAAGCCTGGCGATGCGGCGCGAAGCTGAAGATGGAAGTTACCACATGCGAAGGCGAGCCGAGACGGCCGAGACGGTCGTCCCGAGCAAATGCCAGCCCCTGCGAATCCAGCTCAGCCTGCAAAGACTCTGCATGTCACGACACAGCCTGGAGACTGCGGCAGCGATGCCTCTAGTGCGGCAAGGACCGAGAACACCCGCTCACACCTCTCTGGCGGGACAATGCGAGGATGTGACGACACGTCCCATAAGCCATGCCGGGCCCGCACAGCTCTCAAGCTGGGTCGGCTCGACTGGTCGGTGCCGGTGACCCGGAGATGATCCAGCTACGAAAGCGCTTTTCGTCTAAGCTGCTATGACCCTTTGGCCCTAGGCATTTTCGGACCTCGTTGACGAAGGCCGCAAAACTGCGTTGCTCGTCAACAAAAACTCCACGAGCATCAGGCCTGGGCAACTTCGATACATGTACCATCACCGGATGCGCAGTCCCAGCAAGCGGAGTATGGGCGCAACCAATCTCTGGCATATCCAGAAGAGACCAACACCTTGGCGAGTATCGCTGTCAGACATCTACCGACGGTGATGCGCATGTCACAAAATCGACCAGGCACAGAGGAGTCTGGCTCCTCGAAGAGTAGACCCTCCGCATGCAAGTCCAGCTCCTCTTCCTCACCTCAGCTGGTGATGATGGTAGTGTTATGATGTGTACAAACAAACTTGCAGAGCATCTGGCTCATTCCACCAGGCTTGGGCATGTAGCTGTGTGATCCACTCAGTGGAAAATATTCACCCTGATGGATGCACAATCGAAGTCAAGCAGCAGAGCACAGCAAGAAAGAGATGTCGTACCTGCAACGTGCCGGTCAAAGAGGACAAACTGTGGGCCTGAAGCAGGCAAAAAGCGTTCCGGGAGAGACGGGCTAGCGGCTAGTGCCATCAGTGCACACTGTTGAGGCCATGACAAGTACGCTCTCCACAGCCCGACGCTCATCCACACTGCAAGCTGGCAGCATCCGTGAGCCATGCAAGTTTCGGCTCACCCGGATTCGAGCAAAAACTGCTCGATCACCTGACGAGGCTGACGAAGGTGCTCTGCATTTCAAGAGGCGCATACACAACAGCCTGCTTCAGGCATATCCCAAATCTTCCATGCATCCATGTCCGTCCTGGCACGAAGTGCTCTAGCAAGGGGCGAGGTAAGCTTACGTCGCTTTTCCAACGGAAGGCTCCTGTGCCGGAAGCCCGACCAGTTCGGATGTCGCATCCTGGCACCGGCTCGGCACAGAGTGCAACAGCCGTGGAGCCGGCGTGATGCCTGATGATGTCTTCAAAGAGCAAACTGAAGGTGTCGTATGAGTGCTCATCTCCTGCCACTGCACCAACCTCGCACATTTCAGGAATAATGGAGAGAGAGAGAGAGAGACACACACACACACACGCACACACACATCTATATATATATATATATGTATAATGAATATGTTTCTATATATATATATACATACATACATATGCTCACCCCCCGGCGACAGATATCGCAAGGAAAATATAGACGTGGCTAGATTCAAAGAAGCTTGAGGTTACTCTCATTGGGCTGGAAATTTCAATTTATATCTCGAGCCTACCGTTGTGTCAATAGTTGTTTTCAACCTTGGCTTGTGTAAGACCCGCAGCTTGCACTTAACCTCAATGGAGATTTCAACCATGCATTTGGCAAGTCTTTAAGCGCGATGATTGCTAAGCATTATTGATGAACTTCTCCCTTTTGTCCTGTACAAACATAGATGTCAATCAGTAACCTCTGCGTGAAGATGATACTATAGGAAGACCAGCTTTGCTTTCGAAGAAAACTCGAACTAATCGAAAATGGCTAACTCACGCGTGCAGTCGCTTGCAGTACAGACCTCTGATCACCGCAACAACTGGAGTCCACAACACAATTGGAGCATACATGATTGTTCAATGGTCATAATTTTCTAAGTGTAACATGCTTACAATGATTTTGCTTTTACACAAAAGACTACACCCAGTTCGACCAACGAAGGAATGGACATGACTTACTGTAGCTCATGCACAGACTTCAGATGCAGGTAAAGGTTTGTTGGTATAGGGACGAGATATCAAGAACCAACCTGCTGAATGCAAAATTCAACAAGCAGCCACATTTTGAAATCTTGCTTCTTCAAGAATATCAAGCCTCCAGCTTCAATGTATTTCCGGACTACCCCATCGTTCTATGAAAGCACAAGTGTGAATATTCAGGAGCTTGGTCGTTACATACTAATCAAAATGTGAATAAACACAGGACTCAACAACTCATATATGTAGCTGATAATGTTTGGTTTGGCTGGCCTGAAATGATGTTACCCAATGCTAATCGCACAGGAGTGACCAATCCAGCAAATGTAATCTGAGACGATAATGAAAAAAGAGGAGGTACAGAGTGTTAGAAATACTCAAGGAAGCAGAACGGCATTTCTAACCACAGTAACGGTGATATGGGTAATGGCAACTATAGCATTGGTATATGTAATACTGGGAGTACACTGACTACACTTGATACGATAGTTCGTGCATAGCAGAATATAGTCGTAATTTAGGTATGACTGAGAATGGAAGTGGGGATTGGATAGGCATGTATAGTTCCAATACACATACCGATACCTACAATTACAATAGTGGGTCACGAACTGCAACGAATAACTGCCATGCCGAAATTTGCTGTTCTTTGGACGATACACTTAAAACTTCAATGTAATGGTTTTTAAGATTACAGCTATACCGGCATTTATCTGGCAATTCGGCTTGGTGTTACGTATACGATTGCATGGAGCAGTGAAGTAATGGACCACGGTTCACCTATAATGTGAAGAAACTGCAAAACAAACGGAACATTGTAGGTGTATGACGATTGTAATCCCAGTGCACATACCGATGCCTGCAATTAAATTAGTGGGTCACGAACTGCTACGAATAGCTGCTATTGCTGAAATTTACTACTCTTGTGACAAATACACTTAGAATTTTAATGTAGTGACGTCAAGATTACAGTTATACCGGCATTTATCTGGCAATACGGCTTGGTGCTGCATATACGATTGTATGAAGTCGTGAAGTAGTGGACTAATGATTTAGTGACTAATGTTAAGTCAGCGATAGAAATCTGCAAAATATATGGAACAACATGGCTCAATAGAAGCGTCTCTGTGTCATTGCGATAACGACAACTGATTAGACATAACCACTACTCACCTAGATATGAAATCGGCTCGAAAAGACTAGAATCACGGAAGAGTCAAAATATACAAACAAGGATAATGTTTATTCTAATTATATGGTTGATGATAGATACTTCTGCAAGATCCGAGGCAGTTGTTACTCATGTGTGAGGCTTCGTAATCCCGGTTGCGCATATGGGCATGTGTGAGAACAAAAACTGAATCAAGTAATTTGTTCTGAGACGACTACTGGCACCAGAGTATTCAATAACACAATGTTTTCAAAAACCTGAGGATCAAACCTACATAAACGAATAGTAGAATCCTAAAAAGAACTGTACAGATGCTTTGGGATAGGGTTCAAGATTCAGAGCGTTGGTATGGGGATCTCCGGCAAGAGCGCAGGGGCGCAACACCAAAGATGAAGCACGAGACCGAAAAGCAAAAGACCAAAAAACAAAGGTCCAAAGAGAATACCGGAACTGTTTTGGTAATTTGGGTTGTTTTTGTGTTTGTGTGTGTGTGTGTTTAAGATGTGTTGGTTCTTTGGTGTTTTGTTATTTTTGCCTTGGGTTTTACGGGAGTTTCTTATACAGTGCCGATTACCCATATTAATCGGAACACCAAAGCCAAAAGACCAAAAAAGCAAAAAAACAAAAACAAAAAACAACATTTCCGGCAGTCTCTCCAGCCGAAGCAGGGCTTGAATCCCGAACCCGCGAAAAAGGCGAAAAAGGCCGCAACCGCCGGTGGGAGCAGGGTTTAAAGTAAGTGGTCTGTCATGCAGGGGTGACCATATATGTATTTTTTCTGTACCGCACACGCGTGCTCGCCCGCACGCCCGCTCGCTCGCACGCACGCACTCACTCACTCACGCACACACGGACACACGTACACACGGACACATAGACACAAGTCTTCAACACTGTCCAAAAACACGGCTGTAGAATACACTCTACAGGTTGAAAATCCTACATATGGCGCTGCTCCTACTTTTGAACAGTTTAACAATCCTTCTTGGTGTTTTAAGGCGGGTGACGGACGCGAAAACTTTATATCTCAGATTGTTGATATCTTGACGCTTTGACGAAGAGCTTTTTTGAATCATTATCTAGCTGACTCTTCATGTTCCATTCAGAGTTCAAAATCAGAAACCTTCCTCTCCTTTGCCACTTATCAATCATATCAGTGCTCGTCCCGAGTGGTATGCCACATCTTCAAGATAATGATCCTTTCGCGATCTGTCCGCGAATTCTGTTTTCGAGAACTGACAAAACTACGGGCCACTGGATCTTCTGCTTAGCTAAGTACAGCTACATTCTACACATCTTGGTACCAAAGTGCCGTCTAGATCATGCAACCCTTTTAGCCCAACATGCATGCCTAAGTTGCACCGACACTGCCGCTCCCTCTCTGTCAGCTGGGGCGCCGGCCGTTTTTATCATTCGGTGGCCAATGTTGTCGAAACAAGTCTTTATGCAGGTCGCAAAGTTGACACCCAGCGGTGTACATCTGTCCTGGCGACATCAAGGAGCTGCAGCTCTGCCCAACGCTTGTCAAGCATGCACCACACCGACAGCACTCGACTCCGCACCCCCTTTTCATGTTGGAAGTGGTCGCAAGGCTTTGCGGCGTGTGCGACAGCTGGCATCAATGGGTAGGAGTGGACAGGTCAACACAGATCCACCTACAAGTAGTAGTTGCACTGTGTCAGTGGAATCTGTCTCGTGCCTTGAGTGTGTAGTAGATGGACGGATCTCGTCTAAGGATTTCAGCAGCGAGGCTGTGCCTGCTCTCTCCCTCTCAAGCTGTGTTCGAGAGCCTTGCCATGCCTTGCCTGTCGTTGATGTCCGGCATCTCTGCGGGACACACTTCTCTCGGAAATTCTGCTGGACTGGCAGCGACGGCGCTTGTCGACACTTCTGGGTCGGCCTTGTCTATAGGCTCAGCGCACACTCAGCGCACAATCCTCGCGCTCTCACGTCCGCCTCGCCCATCTCGGCCGCCACCAGCTTTCGACAGCCAGCAGCAAGTGTGCCCGCAATCGTTTCTGCGGATGCATTCGCTGTTCGAGCAACAGCAACCTGAGCTGCGGGGACCCTACATTACCACAGCAAGGTGCTGGTAGCACATGTCAGGCCTCCCAAACAGGCATCCGTTCACCCTCTTCGCTTAACTCGCGGCGCCGAGAGGGTAACAAACCTGCGCATAGGCGTTTGCTTCTTACTGTTGCTGAACTATGGCGGTTTCTTATCTCGGCGCATATCTTTGGGCCCTGGCCACTTTGTCTACATAGCGCCTGTTTCACCAAAAGGACAAGCAAAACGCACATGCATATCCGCACGTGGGCGCAGAGAGAGAGAGAGGGAGGTCCCCAACCTTTTCCCTACTATGGTGCGAGTCATGTCGCCTTCAGCTTAGGCTCATCCGTGGACAACTTGGGCAGTAGCAGCCTGGCAGTCGCCTGTGGAAGTGCGCGACACGAGCTGAGAGGCAAAGCCGCGCCGGCCACGTGCCCCTGCCTGCAGGGCGCAGCCCACGTTGGCTGGGCAGTGGTTCAGGAAGCCCAAACCTGAGAGTCAACAGATGTCAACAGCACAGCACAGCATGTAGAAGGTTGGCGAGAACGGAGAGCACCCAAGGCTCCAGCTCGAGGAGCTGAAGCTCCGGCCGCCTTCCTGCGATAGCTCGAAGGGACGGCTTTTGCAAGGTCCATAGCTTGCATTTCTGGCGGCGGCCGGAGCGATCGGCACGTGAGCATCGCTCTTGATGCGCGTCCCCGATACACACGCTTGCGTCATTAAATAACCTGAAGACCCTCAACTGTAATCCCTGAGCTCCAGAAACTTTAAGAGGTATTTCCTTTGTTTCGCGCGCGGTCTGCGTCCCACATTGGTTTCAAGCCTCCTGTCTCAATCTGTCTTTCTCTCTTTGGGCCCTTGTGCTCTCTCTCTCTCTCTCGCCGTCCCTCTCTCCCTGGCGTGCACTGAAGGCGCAGATTGGGGGCGGGCCTGCAAAGCGACGGCAAGGGCTCGCTCGAGACGTAGCGTCCCGTCCAGCGCCTCGGTTCGAACTGCGCCATCGTCACGCTTGTCGCCACCGTTCTGTTGCTGTTTCTGTTCTGGCTTCTGGCCTTCCAGACATCTCCATCTCTTCTTTGGTAGGCCATTCGTATGTGGTCTGCCTGCGCAAATATCAAACATCCGAGCTCAAGTACGCAATGACAGCTGGCCGCTGGCCTCGTTCACGAACACGACCATGCCACTATCATTGGTGAAAACACCTCGTGCCTGAATCGCCAATGCTTTTTGGATGAACTCGCAAAGCAATTGATATCGATTGATGCCTGGGACGTTCACTTCGTCAACGTAAGATGGCACGAAGAATGAACCGCAACAAGGTATGCTTCGTGTTTCTTCAACGGCGAATTGATGCTATGGTAGCTAGTTCTGTACTATAGGCATGAACAGAAGACAACAAACTTGTTTGTGAATGCGAGGCGCTCCCATACCCTAGTGCAGTCCCTCGCCCGTCTGGAAATCCCGAGTCTGTCACATCGGCCCTCCGTGCAAAGTTTCGAACGGGGTCGTCTCGAGTATTGCGAGCTTGCCAGACTTGTGTCGTGGAGGAACATGCCAAAAGCAAAAAACGTGGAACTTTCACCTCTGCACGAACTGATTTGATTTGAAGTGCACAATGATATGGCTTCGACACGGGATTGCAAGTGCTCTGGCGTTCTGTCTTTTTGGGTCTTGTTTTCCGTTTTGGCTTTCTGCTTCAAACGCGACAAAGCGAGCCTCGCAGCTTCTGGCTGTCAAGGTGAAACACGCGGCCTAGGAGCAACATGCTATACACTAGATACACTATACATTACTTACGGTCCTGAGTTGGCTGTGGGCATGGGATTTCGTATCCCGGGCTCACCGGAGTCCGGAGTCCTCCGTCAGCAAGAGAGGCGGTGCTCTCAGGAAAGTTGAGGCGGTTAACGGGAAATGCTTCTTTCCTGCCGTCCAAAACCCAATGGGCCGAACAACAAAGAGGATATCGGCAGAAGCCCAGCATCTGCAAACCATAAATGCAGACGCCGCCACTGCACTTGAACGCATATCGCGAGCAAACAGTACTCAGTATTCAGGCCCTGCGACTATTCCCCCGCAACCTAAACAAAAGGTTCCTTGGAAGAGCAGGTGATATTCTGGTGGGTCGGTGAGTGGACCTCCGGCACGGACCCCAACAACACCCAACAACAACCTTGCAGACGAGGACGATCTGGCTTGCAACCCCTCAAAAACAGTGTTGTTCAACTAAACACAGGGACCACGCTTCCAGTGAAAAATGGGCACCCAACACAAGCAGCTTCGCACTGGCGGGGAAGTAACCCCAGGTCTGAAGACTCATTTCCCATGAAGGCGCGGTGCTGCAACACGCAACAACGCTAAACCTATATTAAGAGCCTAAACCGAAATGCGTGAGGGTTTGGTATCGAAGATACGCTATATGCTCACCTCACCGAGCTTGTTGTTGTTGTTGGGTATTGCCAATGGTGAACTCAAACTCGCACAGCAATGACGCGAAGCGATCCCC